GCCGCAAAACAACATATTATTATGTGTGTGTGTGTGTGTATGTGTGACTGTGGCTGTGATTAAATGTGTTCGGAATTTCATGACGTGGGCAAATCAGACACGAAGAGTTCCTTCCTTCACTAAGCTCGTAAGTTATACCGATTTGCTCTTAATTTTAAGAAGATTTATTTTATTGATTAATTACCTGTGCTTTATGAAATAATATTCAAAGGTATTGTGTATCAGTGAATAAATAATTATAATATAGCATCTAAGACTATTTTATTGTATTGTTTTTAAATAGTGTGGATCAAAGCGAGTAGGTAAGCGCCGAGTTATCTGTGCGTGTAGTTAGGTACCTACAGGCGGCCGCCGGTCGTCGCCCCGACCGGCGGTGATCACGACTGGAGGCATAATGAAGGCATTCATTAAGTTTCCGTTTTTTTAGTAGTGCTTATTTTAAGTTGCTTTATAATTTCTATGTAGACGTGTTTAAAATGAATAATTACTCATAAGGAAGAAATGACAAAAAAATAACCAAATAAAAAATTAAAAAACGAAAAAAATTATTTTAAAAAATCCGAAAAAAATCAGGCATACTCTATACATGTAACCCATCAATCTCACGAAGTTTCATAGAAACATTCAATTTCACCCTGTATATAGGTAGAATAATATACAAGATAAATGGCAACACTAGGTATAAATGGATAAAAACGGTAGTCAATGCAAATTTTTATTAATGCCACAACCGACTCACCTGGATATCTTCTTGCTCCTGGCTTCCTTACGGCGTAGACATAATACAACCAGCCTATATAAGCGGGTGCGGCGCGTAGCAAGTGTTAAGTATAGTCGTCTTCTTCATCTCGTCTCCGGCCTCTTCGTCGCCGTCGTCGAGCGTGCATCTCGAGCTCTTCCGTGCATTGGAAGGCACGCTTTGATCCCCTTTGCGCCTGCAGGTATTAAAACCCACCAGTTCGTACTGGTACCTACTGAGTGGTGGGTTATGGTCCAATCGAATAGGCTGATGAAGACAATTATAATTTTAAGTTACAATATTCATCTTAAACTTATCCTTATAATCCATACTAATATTAACAATGGGAGAGTGTGTCTGTCTATTTGTTACTTGAGACTCTGAGAAGATTATAGGATAGTTTTATCCCATAATTCATCCTTCAAGGGGTGAAAAGGGGGGCCGAAAGTTTGTATGGGAAATCATTTTTTTTACGCAAGCGAAGTCGCAGGCACTCACTAGTACCTAGTATTATAAATGAAACAAACATACACTGAAAGTGTATGTTTGTCACTCAATCACGTAAAAGTCTGTGCGAAAACAGAATGGGATTTAGATTGGAGGGCGCTGTAGTGCTTTTCTACCGTGTTTGTAAGGTTTTACCCCTTTTAGCCATGATTAAATACAAAAAACCGCAAGAAATCACAACAACAAACAAATCCGTATCAATACAAAACTTTGACGTTTTACAGATTGCTATAATTGCCAAACAAAAATCTTAATGTTAGTTCCGTTTTTCGCCACGCCCATTCTAATTCCGCACAGACTCTAAACGGATTCGATAAAAGGCACACAAATAGTTTATGATTGAGACATAAGATACTTTTAATGCCGGATTTTTTGAAATTCCTGTGAGATTCTCAAAAAAACTAAAGTTAACGCGGATAAAGTTGCGGGCGGCTGCTAGTGATATCATAAATCACATACAGCAATTGTAACGATAAGCACTTACCTATTGTAGTTTCTAAAAGCGACCTGTGATAGGAGCTGATTTTCCTGGTGAAATTTCTTGATATAAATATTTTTCCATATCTTGCCTGCGTGGCTAAGCGAGAGCTTCTCTTGTCGTACTTGTTTGGTTGGTAGCATTATATTTTTTTTTAAATGTTTAATACCAGAACATAATTAGCTCAAATCGAGTTGCGTCGACTCAACTAAAATGTCGCGAATTATATTATTTTTCTCCTTAGCACATAACTCATTAGTGTCGCCACGCTACAAATCGTCATAGCTCGCTTCTTGTGGCCCGCACCGGCCACTTAATGCGCCGATACAAAACGCCGCCACACGTAACTCGCGCGATTCCCCACCCCTCTCTCACTTACCTTAGTCTGCCGCTTTCGCGCGCTTCAGCCACTTTAGTAGCCACTTATAGCTTCTCGTGGCGGCGTTTGTGGCTGTGGCATGTGGCCCGTGTGCGGCGACACTTAGAGGCACCCGGCACTCGACCAGCGCCTTGACAGTTGAAAGAAATAGTCTACACACCAAATGTTTGTGGAATTTGTTGCTTAACATGGGCTACAAGAAGACCAATTGGATGTCGAAATTGCATTTCTTTTCTCGACACTCGTTACAACACAGACCTACCTACATACACTGACAAAAAAGCTGCATTAAATTAGCACAAAAAAATGGTTGCCTGTAAAGTCGGTTTTACGGGCGAAGATTTTACGTGACAACGTCTTTTTCTCGGTAGAATATTTATTGATATGAATATAATTAAATTGCACAATAGGAACAAGGAATTGAATGAAAATAAGAATTGCACAAATTTTAACTATAGAAATATATTTTGTTTACTAAAACATTGTACATGTAAACTTAAACTTAACACGAGAGACTCATCGTAACGTTACCGAGCGTTACACTTTTTCATAAGTGACTCCCAGCCGCAACCTAATTTAAGACGTTGTCACGTCAAAACGCAAGCTCCACACAACACTCACAATGCACAACACCACGTACAACCAAAAAAGATACATACACACTAGTCATCATCATATTTTGTCGTCAGTCTAAAATTAAAACAACCAACTGCATTTAGACTCTTTATTGCATTTTACTCTTTATCTTCGGTATACAATTTTTACTACACTACCGATGAACGCTGAATGCCTCGCCATCTTGCGTTATTGGCACTCCCCGTAGACCGGAAGTGCCAAAACGCGTCAAAGGAAAATAATTTACAAACAAAGAAAATCACTACAAATTATTAACAGCTAACTTTATCATATTTTAGTTTTTACATATATATTATTATATTAATAATACTAGATTAACTATTTAATTATTTTCATAGGAAATGCTTACTTAACACAGAATCATCTTGCCGGAAGTGTTAAATATTTGATGTACGACTATTTAAATATTTTCATTAACTTGCATGTGATAGACATAATAAAGTAAATTATCTTTACACAAACCAATCAGTCCTGAAGGTCATGCAAATGCAGCAAGGACCAAACACCGAGGAGCGCGCGTGATATTAAATTTTTGCTCATCCATCCTTTGACCAGCTACCTATTATTAAAGTTGCTCGATATTGCAAAATATTTACCGATTGCAGCAGTGCAATGGTGAATTGTAATTGGTGTATGTTTTTTATATCGATTGTTTTGATTGATGACTTTGATGGTTGTTTTTATGAAGTCCTTTATAATTTCGGCAAACTTTCTCGGTGTTCTCTCGGTTCTATTTCAAGATAATAATTTATTTTTGTCTAACTGCCGAGATACCTATTACAAACGCAGGTTTAAACCGTTGGAGGTTGCTAGATTTTTGTTTTTATAAAGTCCACTATTTCTAGACTACCTAGCGATCCCTTAATGAAATGTCGGTGGGTGGACATCATAAGAAGAAGTTGTGGAGAAGATTTCTGGCAACCAGAAAAAACTACAGTTAAACGCTCAGATCATTTTAATAAAATAAAAAAAATATGGGTGCGTGTACTTATGTACGCGCGTGAGAAGTTATACTTTTTTGGCATCATTAAAAATAGTTTTTAATTGCATGCAAATAATTAATTACAATAAAATAATAAAAGGACTGCAAAAGTATAGTCAATACAGTCAATAAAATTCAGTTTTAATTTGAAAAATGAAATAAAGAATCAAGATATTCAATTTAAATCACTACTGAATATAATTTATCAGCACATATATAATAAAATCGCACTTATTTGAAATTAAAACACGTGTTGTGAACACAGAAACTAGAAACATGTGGATAAATTTTATAAAATATGAAAACTGTGATCAACTTCATGGTATTACTTTAGTGTTACAATAATGCGCGCGCATCTTTAAATTTCATTCTCATATTTTTTCATAACGCGCCTAAAGAAGAATAACTTCAGTAAATTAAAATAATTATAAAACAAAAGGTTTGCGACACAGATATATATAGCGCATGTATTGTATAATATGTAACATTTTAAAGATAAATAATATTAAACGACTAAATTCAAGGCCTTAATTATCATTATATGCAAAAATTAAATATAAAATATTATCATGGCTACTATTTAAGTTAAACTAAATAAAAATTTGTAAAATTATTTTTTATTTCAAATATCCAAATATATATTTATACTTTTACAGATGTTGCCATGTCTATGATTTTTAATTGTGTGAACAATATACTAATTTATATTTGATTAAATTTACCCACTTTTTTGGGGAATGTGGCCTAACCTGGTATCTAACGCATGCGCTCCGAGACAAAAATAATGACATTTTGCTGTCATTTCGCGAGTGTAATAAACAAGATTCGCGTCTTTTTTTTGCGTGTCACGCTCACAAGTATATAAAACCAGGTCTGTTTTTACCGCAGTGTTTACGAGGTGACGCTCTATCTAGTGAGTTAATAATCAAAGTTAATAAATTTATTATAATTTAATACTTGCCAAAGTAATTTTTCTCTCCCCTAGCCTACTTATATGAGATTATACATTATTATTCAATTAATATAAGAAATGTTTCAACTCTAACAGTCTCTAATAAAATTGATTACTTAACATATCATAATCATAGGTGAGGTATTGATTCTAATACTTAATTATTAAACATCATGAAAAGTTTAAATCTAAAGAAAATATAACTAGAAAAAATTCCACGCGGACCAGGCAGCAGACGGGACTCGAACCCGCACCCTTCGCAATCCGGGCGAATGCACTAGTTTCTAGTTATATTTTCTTTAGATTTAAACATCAAGCAGTTACATGCTTTAAAAATAATAAAAATTATAATCATGAAAAGTTTTAAAATAAACAACGAAATTACACTATGTTACCTTAACTCAATTCGAAACAAGGAAATTATGCTACTTACATGATATTTTACTCGTACTATTTAAATTTTAAAGATAACATAATAAAAGTTCATTGATTGACGAATTAATTACCCGAGATTACAAAGTTAATATTACGTCAGTCAAAAATCTTTTATTCACATTATTTCTAGGGCAAAATATATTCGTTAATTTTATATTTATTATTATTTATATTCTACGCTTACCTAACGACTTTTTTCGATTAAATAATTTAAGTACCTACTATTTGCAATAAAAAGGAGTAATTTTATATTTGTGAACAAAATATTTATCGAAACAAAGTTAAAAATTACGCATCCCCATAGATAAATGATTGGTCTCACTACGCTCGACATACTATGATATTAAATATCCTAGATACACCACGTGCGCTCAAAATGTGTCCCAATCAAGAAGTGCTTGGACACGCCTCAAGAACTTGTTGGTTCACAGTCACGCGCGGATCGTTGAAAAAATCAAGATGCCAAAAAGCTCCGTAAAAAAATTTGAAATAAATACTAATAGTACGTAGTGTCCTTTTTTCGATAGGCATCTAATAAATGTTTGTTAATTTAACGCATTTGAAGCAAATATTGTTCTAATACTTACTATAAACTGTTTTAGTAGAAAATATTTGTGATATTCAAATGCATGGTCGGAATATAGCTGTCTCATTTCCTCGCGGTCTGTACCTGTTATATTGACAACAGCGCATTGAGAATTTGCACGTAGAATCAAAGAAATAAGGTCTTATATTCTTCCGCATATAGCAATAAGTCGTAAAATTTTAAGAGCTTCCATTTTGAAATGTCGTTACTCTCTGATGCATGCATTTCAATTAAGACCTTATACAGTATGAATTAAAGGTGACTTTCAATGTATAAATAATGCCTTATATTGTTTTTGACCACGCGATCATCTTACAGAGCTCCGTGGATAGTCCAATGTACCTTTTGGATAGGTTTCGGCCACAGTTTTGTTCGTGATGTTGTATCTAGGGTATTTCATATCGTTGTCGACATAGCATATTGTATTGATCGGATGCGAGCAAGCTTGGTCGATGAACTTTAAACTTGTAAATAATGTCAATCAACTCATTTACAGCTCCAGTACTGTTGCCGAACAAAGAACACTACCCGTTACTCTACGACTCGAACTGATAAAAATGATACACTGCAAACCATCTAGCTAGATAATTATCTTAATACATTAACTTATTTGTGCATTTTATATTAAGCTTTAAATAATATTTTCCTGGTTTGTAGTTAAAAATCTGGTCTTCCTTTATTCTAATAATTCATTCAGAAACTTTATTTTCAGGCCTAGTTTGTTTATCATTAGCACTTTTTTTATTACCACTTAAATGGACTTTAACGCCAAAAGTTGCTTCAGTCAATTTTCTCTAATTTTGTTTATTAATATTACTTTAGTTTTAAGTATTTTCAAATTTAACTTGGACTGTATATAAAAATACTTTATGTTCTAGTACCATGTCGCAACACACAGCCATGCTTTGGTATTAATTACAATCTTATCACACTATCGTGTTTGTCCTTAAGGGTGGGTTTTATTTTCATCCGTCATCACGTCCCGATGTATCACTCTCAACAATTTGAAGGAACGCATGAACATTTTTTGTAATAGCTAATCTTATAAGATTCATACAGCAACGAAAGATTAAATTTTAAGTCCACTATCAAGTTTTTTACTTGTTAATGATTAACATATAGTTTTGCTGTTCTCAATGCTTACCGGGCTTGAGATCACATACAAATATTTGATTACCTTTTCTCTACTGTGATAATAATTTGATATGAAAATTTAACTCGTATCAATTTTATATGTCGATTTGATGAAATATTATCGCGGTTATACATCGACCAGACTTAACAACAGATAGTTATGTATATGAATAATTGATTACATTCTTTATAACTAATTTGATTATTCTAAAAGTTTCTAGAACATCAATAAATAGCGATAAACATTTTGGAGGCCTTCTTGTTTTGCGGTCGTTGGTTATCATCAGAGATGCTTAAGATTCTACTTTAGCTTTCATGAAATATGTCAACAAGTCGATCGGGAGCGGGAAAACTATGGTGGAATTCTTCTCAGCGGAGATGGTGTTGAGTGTCTGTGACAGGTGAAACATTAAAGATGTTTAAACATAACTAATCTTTTGAGATTTCATGGTCACTAACATTATAGTAATATAAGTTATTTACGGGATTGTTACCATGTACCTTGAAACTCGCTAAAAACAAGGTACATGGTAACAATCCCTTAAATAACTTATATTACTATAATCATTTGAGTTTTCTAATTACGTTTATATTTAAATTGAAAACTTTGCAATAACGCGAGTACGTTCCATTAAAAAAAATTAACTTGTACATATTATATTTTTGTTAAATAATGTAAAAAACAAAATATTGGCTTAAGGTACGAAATATTATATACTAATCATTATTGATAAAAATAGCACATTTTGTTTTTATAGCATGTTTAGTAAAGATTTTGTCTTTGACAAAACATTACTAGAGTAAATTGCATATGGCTAAGACCCAATGTTCCTTACTATTAATGTCGCAATTATTATTTACTCTTCTGTTTATCTCAACTTATTGTATTATGTAATTGTGAACAATATCTTGTTTTATTTTAATATTATTGTTGTGAATGCCGATTATCTTTCTGTCTTTCTTTCAATAGTTAGCTTTCCTTTTCTTTCTTTTTAAATGGCTTACCTGCAGATAGCGTAGCTGGAGTGCGGCCGGGCTATCTCCGATTACCTCAGAGGCTTCGCGCAAGGCCCTGGACGCTTTCTGCTCCCCTTCAGCAGCGATGACCTTGGCCCGAGCCTCACGAGCTGCCTCGGCCTCAGCAGCCATCGCGCGTTGGAGTTGCACCGGCAGGCGTACGTCCTTGCTGTTTCAGAAAATGGAGAATATCACCTGCTCTTCTATAAGGCATGTCAGGTGATAGATGGAATTCAGCCACTTGAGAGCCAGATAAATAAAGTAGCGCCTTTTCTTACAAAGAAAAGTTAAAAATGGTTTGATCATTTCAAATCAAACATTAACATAACTACTCCAACATTAATTTATTAGGTAGAGAATCAAGGTAGGAAAAGACTGGATCCGGCCGGATACAGATTTTACCCCTTTTCAATCGCTCCAAGTTCCAAGTTTTATTTTCTCTACTCTCTTTGGGGCGTGTGCCGGAGACTTGGGGAGGATGCCATTATGCAACCGGTGCCCGAAAAAGGGGACCTCTCAGACACGGCCTAATTATCGGTCTATAACTGTCACCTCATCTTACTTATCCTACCGGTACCCCGGTACCACTGCCCCCTATCACCCAACCTCAGATGCTCTCAATTAATATCTTTTACGAAGAAGAAGATATTAGCTTAAAGAAATGTCAGAAGAGCGCTTTAGTTCATCAGAAAAATCATGTATGACACGTACGACATGTTGTTATTTTACGCGTCTACGCGAATGAAGTCGCGGGCATAACTAGTATGATAATAAGTACCGTTGGGTGCTTGGCCGGTGTTAATAGGGTGCAATGACCACATTTGCTCCCTTGGCACGCTTCTGGAGCGTGCTTGGAGACCGGTGCAGGAGTATCTATGGTTTTATTGGATGAAATAAGTGAGGAGAAGTTTCACATGTCCTCCTCCCAACTCCCGGTGGGCGAGGATATCATCACGCATTGTCTAGATAGAAAAAAGACCAAATGCGCTTAACACTGCACCATCTAACATCACAACATAAAACATATATCAAATATTAACTCACATCTCCACGCGTTCAACCTTGATGCCCCAGGCTTCGGTAGCTTCGTCTAGTGAGAGTTGCATATTTCCTGAGATGGTTTCCCGTTCGCTGAGGATCTCGTGGAGCGGCCTGGTGCCCATGGTGTTCCGAAGGGTGGTTTGAGCCAGGAGTCGCGTGGAGTGGTGAGCATTTTCCACGTTGGCGATAGAAATGGTAGCATTGTGGACGCGGTAGTACACCACGGCATCAACTGACACAGTCACTGAGTCTTTGGTCAGTACCTGAAATATAAAGCTATTATATTCTTAAACTATTTTAATCATTTCAGTATTGGAAGATACTAATGAGGCCGCGTTGTTTGTTAAATTTGACTATCGTAACATATCGTAACGTAACAGAAAAATAACGATTTGTTAATATTTTACCCATTTATTATGTATTGACGTGGCATTAACTATATTCAAATTTAATTAAAAGTAGATGAAACAACGCGGTCTTAAAGCGGAATTACACCGAATAAAGTAATTTACAAAACTAATTGAGTTAACCGCTGAATAGCCAACCATTGTTTACTAATAAATAAATTTCAGTCACTCATTGACCAACTGTTCTGTTGCATTTTACATTTTCATTTCAGTTAATCGAGTTTAGTTGAGAAATCCTTAACTATCTTTTTATAAGCCTTCAAATTCGATTTCTGTAATGTAACAAGGTTTTGTTATAATCAAACACGCTTGAGATGATTACTTACATAGAGTTGGCCTAACTAAAACTTTTTTGTACTATTTATTAGCAAGCACAAAAACCTCTACGAATAACTAAAAAGTGATGTAACTGTTAGCCAAAAAGGTAATTTATGTAATAGGTAATAAAAAAAAATAAAAAAAAACAAAACTTTTTACAGTGCAGATGGTTCATTTTTATTCGATGCTTCATCGATGAGAGAACGAAAAAAAATGTCTAAATTGACGTTTATCGGAATGTGCCTTTGCGATGAAAGATTCCGACTCGCGATTGTTTTCACTAGCATCGATCATGCATCTGTCATCATTTATCGGCAATGAACGTCAAATGAAACGTCTACACTGCGACAGCTTTTCACAGTTCATTTCTTTAACTGTCTCGGTATTTATTCTTTAATAAAACAACTCGACATAGATGATGTTTGTTATGATATTCCACAAGTAATGGTATATTAGCTTTCATCAAAAGTGTTGCATCTATACAAATATGTAATAATACATTTCACTGTTCATCATTCATAAACCATTGCAAAAATGAATCACTTTTGATGAACTATCTAATTTTGCATTTAGGAAAGAAAGCACACGTTCAAATTCCAAATTCAGAATAAAGTAAATTTGGAGGAACGACCACCAGAAAGATGTATGTAAAGAAATGGTTATTTTCATAAAATCTACCGAATTTAGGTACGTTTTATAACAACTTCTTGGTGGCTAGCGTAGGTACAATAAGAACGGATTCCGATTTTTTCCATGATAAAAGCGATGGTACACGCCATACCCAGAACTCATTACTTATATGATTAAAGTAAATAAACACGTAAATAACATTTGATAATGTACATATGCATTAGTGGGAATGTAACCGTAGGATAATTATTGTTGACAACATTGTGTTTACTCTAAATGCGGCGCGGCGTCGAGGCATACCATTAGCTATGAAAGATTCATTCAATGATAGAAATATCACAGCAAAAGGGCAATAATTTTAAATCCCCTTTGAAATATAAGTGGTAGACGCTCGATGGAGATCGCAACAGTACCTACGTGATTCATGCAATTGACTGTTAGTAAGTAGTTTTTTATGTTTAAGGTTGAACGACCGAAAATAAAGCAATAAATATTATATTCAGTAAACTTTTGCGTCCATGTTCGTCGTTAAAGTTTTTGATTACACGGAAGAAAAAGACGATTATTAATAACGAATTCTATGTTATTATGTGAAACAGAGAGAAAATTGTGGCACTGGCTATTTAAATGTCAGTAAAGCGATTCTCACTCTGCACCGCACTACGCTACGAGTGTGTGGCGACGGAACCACGCGTGGTTGCGAGTGCAGATCTGCGTCATCGTACAGATTTTGCCATACAAACTCAAGTTTCTCTGCATGCAGTCGCGTGATCTGCAACACTACGAGAGGTATTGCAAGCAACGTAAGAATAAGCAAACCCGCGGTAGCAGGGCAGTTTCAGAATCGGCTAAATGGAAATTTCTGTACGAAATCGCGTTATCTGGACGGAACTTAATCGACAACGCGAACGCTCACAAACTTGCCTAGACATGCACGACTATTGTAAAAAATAATAATTAGCCTTGTAAAAATATTATAGACCTGTCATCTATACATATAATAAAAGGGTAAGAAAGTCAAAACTACATTGAATATTTTTTTAAAAGAATATTCGGGGTGTGATCTACAATCGATACCGAAGCCAAAAATATATTTTTTAGAATTTTTGTCTGTTTGTATCTGTTTGTCTGTGTGTATGTCCGGGATAAGCTCAAAAAGTACTGCATGGATTTACTTCAAATTTGGCACGAATATTATTAAGAAGTCTGGTCAACATATAGGCTACATATTATCACGCCATCACCTACGGCGAACGAGCAGTAAACCTTTATTTCTAACTAACTCCATGCGTACGAACTCGCGGGCGGCTGCTAGTAGTGTATAATTATGTTGTGTTTAATTAGTTAAAATATTTGTTCTCGAACACCTATTTTTATGATTACATTGTCTGTGACGTGAAGTTTGCTTGAGTATGATTTCCAAAAAATCCCACTTTATATTCATAAATTTCATAAACGTTTGCTATATATAATCATCAAGCAAATTTCTTTCATATATATACATTTCAAAAAATATTGTGCGATCCACGTTTATATAGGATTGAAGTACCTAATAAAGTTACTTACTATTGGGGACGTTTATTCAACCCTGCAAGCATTAAATGGCGCTAAGATAATTATGTATTTAGCAAAAAGAAAACATATTCTAATTTAGAAAATGTGCCACTAATTCGTCTAAAATAACCATAGCCTCTTCATTTAACATGAGAACAGGCAGATGTTTAGTATTGCCACGCCTCCATCAGTTGGTACACTGTCAAAGTATGTACTGTGTAACAATAATCGATCCACATTGAATCAATAATGCTTTGACTGGTAATTCATAGTGGACACCTAGCGGTACCAAGGCAACCTACGGGAACTTTTCTGTCAACCTACTTTTATAATGTTTAGGGCACATTTTTTATTAATATTGAATATGTATTTGTGTTGGTTAACCTTGTTCGAAAGTACCTATAACTAAGTAGTTTGACTGATAAGTTGATACTCTACCTAGGCCCATTTGTATGATATTTTTTTTTAATCCTGTTTAACATATCATTTCATCATAGAAGATTGTTTAAAGTCATATAAAGATAAAATGAGGTGGAACATGATTAGTTTTTAAATTTCATTGAAGAACTTTGGTGCAAGTGGGCCTTAGGATGATATTTATATCACTTTTGTTTAAAAATCTAATACCAAGATTTTTAAACACAGGTCTACACGAATTAGCTAATTTCTTGCATGCTAAACAATGCTAAGTGTCGCCACACACGGGCCACACGCCACAGCCACAAACGCCGCCACGAAAAGCAAGAAGCGGCTGAAGCGCGCGACAGCGGCCGACTAAGATAAGGGAGAGGGGTGGAAAATCGCGCGAGTGACGTGTGGCGGCGTTTTGTATCGGCGCATTAAGTGGCCGGTGCGGGCCACAAGAAGCGAGCAACGACGATTTGTAGCGTGTGACGGCCACCGGCGTACCGTGTGTGGCTAGTCCATATAAAACGTATGAAAACTACAAGAAATATGCCGGTGGCGGCATTTTGTGGTTGCGGTCGGTGGCCCGTGTGCGGCGACACTTTGTCCAGAATTTCTAATACAAAATTTCATCCTATATAAGTGACGTGTGGCGGCGTTTTGTATCGGCGCATTAAGTGGCCGGTGCGGGCCACAAGAAGCGAGCAACAACGATTTGTAGCGTGTGGCGGCCACCGGCGTACCGTGTGTGGCTAGTCCATATAAAACGTATGAAAACTACAAGAAATATGCCGGTGGCGGCATTTTGTGGTTGCGGTCGGTGGCCCGTGTGCGGCGACACTTTGTCCAGAATTTCTAATACAAAATTTCATCCTATATAAGTAGCGGTTGCTTGTTCCTTCCACAAGAAAAAAGAGGAAGAAATTAACTTACAGGGATTTGCAGTTCATAATCAATTATTTTTTTTACTGGATAAACAATCAATTCTTACAAAACGTAGGTACTTAATATCGTAAGTAAAGAATCAAAGAGCATTGAAGGGTATTTAATTCATCCGTATTCATCCTTTGACGTCGTAACCTATTTTCTTACTCATCCTAAATTAGTATTTCCAGCTAAACCTATTACATTATACAAATTACTATAAAATACATATTATATAAATTAGTTCATTGACTCCAATACTAATTTAAATTTACTTGTATTAAGCTTGAAGCATTAATGGTGTAGAGTGAATGAAACCAACGTTGCCAGTTGTTAAATAAATATTGGTGTGTTATCGTGCTTGTCATGCTTGTTACTTTTCTTTGTGACTGTATTGAAGTCATTATAGTAACTAACATAGGAAACAAACGTATTGCGTGCGTCTAATTTGCAATTGAAAGAGTCGTTTATGATAGTGGAGTTGTTTTTAGGGTAGGTATCTAAGTTATAGCTGGCATATTTTATAACATTAATAATAATAATAAATATTCTTTATTGCACACAACAAAGGACACAAGACATAAACAAATAAAGCACAAGGAAGAGTACAATAGGTGGCCTTATTGCTAAACAGCAATCTCTTCCAGGCAACCTATGGTGGAAGAGGAATAATAATATAGCTAATTATGAAAGGGTACAAAAGTAAATACAGGATTTTTCATGAAAAACAAACTAAAGTGGCATTGATTTGCTTCATTAACTTAATCCTTAAATCAAAAGATGGCTTTTTCATTATGGATCGTTTAAGATCATTCGAACCCACGTTTCCCATGTTATGGCGCCTTCACCGGATCGGTGTGGGCTCTTTTCGTTTTCGTTTCTGTATCGAATCTGTACAGACTATTTACCAAATGTATGTTATTAAATAAGAGCTTCACTGAGTTGTTTCGGTACATTTTATTTACAGGGCGGATACATGCTTTCTTTACCGAGTGCTACTGAGGTACTATCGAACCATTAGACTGGACCGTCCCGTCACGCCCGTTAACAGAATCATACCAAACAAAACGACACGATACCGCACAGAAACCGAGTCAGTCAAGAAGTGATTTTCGGTAAAGAATCTGTACAGATTCTGCACAGAAACAAAAACGAAACGAGCACGCGCCGACCCGGTACGGAAGGTGCCTACGTCCCAACAACACTCCCTATCTGATTTGTATATCACAATGATCCCTTTGCATTCACTTATAACTTTCATTGAATAATCTATTTTTTGTAGTGTGTGACGTCATCGTAAAAAATGTTGACGCCGTTCATAATATGTATGAACAAGCCTCTAAAAACGATTAACGACATTTAGTTACTTAATTTGCCAAATGAAACTATAAATATAGAAATAGATAGTTATTGTCATGAAAGTCAAACAGAGTTGTAACATAATAATTAATACTATATATAAGTACCTATATAATTTTATTTATTAATTTACAGTCAGGCAACGTCGGCCCATAGATATATAACTCGTGCTAGAAAAAATACTGTCATGAGCTTGGCTTGAGTATAATCCGAGTTCTAATCAATCTATTATGATACAAATACAACTTATTTTTTTGTTTTACTATATCTTTATATAAAATACCTAAAGAGTAGGAATAAATGAACAAAAAATTCAATACACACTAGTCGATCTTATTTTTTTTTGTTCTAGCTTATGTGATAATAAACTTAATAGCTATGGAGTAGAATTGAATTTCATCACTTACTTCTTGAGGCGGTACGTCGTAGGTGCGGGTGCGGAGATCCACTCGAGCGTACGTATCAATGCAGGGAAGAATGAAGAAAATGCCTTAAGGAAAAAAAGCAAAACTATTAGGGCGTCCGCTCCCTTAGGCGGGAGCACGGAGAAGACGTCTGTTGCAGAGATCGGCTACGTGCTCCGTCGCGGGACCCTTTCAACGCATCGCAGGCGCGCCTCTCGCAGGTCCCGCCAATATAGTCTAGATCGCGTGAGTGAACAGTCGATAATGGATTATTTTTGTTGATAATACTATCTGGACTGCCTCACGCACCGCTGCTCTACGAAATGACATGAAATATCACGCGGAGCGGACGTCCGCTCCTTGTTCCCACTTAAGGCAGTGGACGTCTTTATAGGTATAATAGTATTAGTTTCAGTGTTCCTTTTTCTAGAATTCAACTTGACTGGTAATAGAAAAACAATTCACACCTTGACAGTCTGTTTTGCTTTAATCAAAGCATTTAAATAGGTACCTAACGGTTACCGTTAGCTAGATAACTTCCTTGGCCTTGATAACTTTATATAACGTTCAATAATGACAATTCCATGTCGTACCCACAGTCGTACCTACAATAAGAAAAATCTACGCATTTGATATTTTGATTCAGGCTACACACTAACGAAGGCTAGGCCCTACGGGAGGGTGGATTTTTAATAAGTTTTGTGTTTTTTGTAGCAATTGCTTATCTGTCTGTATTTTTTTTTAGTTCTAAACGTCTTCAGTTATTTTTTGATTGATTAAATATAACTGGGAAGTAAAATGATCAAATAATATATTTAACTATTTTTTAGTTATACCTAAATAGTTCTAAAGGACTTTGGTTCTATTTTTAAAAGGATCGAGAATGGATCTGAAACCACATATGAAAGTGAACTCATAAATTTATCAAAACAAATTGTTATTTCATAAAAATAATTGATGAAGTTTGTATAACAGCTCTCAGCATTGTTTGCGTCAAGGGTATTTATTTACCTTTTTGATAGTCGGTGCAAGCCAGTAACTTTTTAATTTAAATTATAACCGTCCTTACCTTTGTCAAAATTGCAATTATTCGTTGCAATCGAGTAACAAATTCTATGTTTATTTTTGTAGTAGTGACCGTGAGTTTGACTTTACTAATGTGTGAAGGTACCAATACATAGTGTTTAATGTGCTATTTGATGTTCATTATTCCATTATTTAGACTAAAATTAATGGTCCTTGGTGTGAGGAAGTTTCGATCGATAATAATGGGTTTTGTTTCACTTCCACTGGTCACGCGTGCATTAAGTTTGATTAACAAAACAAATATAAAAGTTTACCTTCTGACTTGTTTACGTTGTCCCATTTTATTTGAGTGTTTAACGGAGTTTTCAAGGATTTATTTATTTATTTGCATCACAAATTAACAAAAGTAATTTCAAAATATTTGATCACAGCAGACATCGATAGAATATAAGTTTGAACAATAAATAACTAGCTTGAACTGCAGTCATAAGTGTGTAAGAGATTTTTTTAAAATATTAACTAAAAAGGCTAGGTTTCGAACCCAGACTACCCGTGCAGGAGACGAGGTTTTTACCACCGATGCTTGCTATAAAGTATGAATTTTTAATAACATTGAAAAATGTTATGCGGTATTCTAAATTTGAACGAATAAATTTGTGAAGATGAAATAAATGTTTCACTTGGAAAAAAAATATAGCAGCAGAGATATCAGTTTTTACATACTGTAAGACAACAGTACAGAATATACTTGTACTCTTTTGTATTCAGAGTACCTACCAACTAAAATTTAGGTTACAAATAACAAAAGCTGATTCACTACTGGAAATATAAATAGAACCATTGTATTCGGGTCTCTGATTCTGAATTCTGGATCAGAAAACCGAATCAGGAAACCGCACGTAAGCGCCCAGGGTAACTAATAAAATAAACTTAAACGGATGCGCTAATCTAACGGAATCCCGAATCTAATTTCCTGATCAAAAAACCGAATCTGGAAACCGTACATGTGTGCCCAGTCTAAATGGCTTTAGAGCCAACAAAGTTGCATACGATAGGTAGCCCTGAATTTGTGCACAGAGCCAATACCTACTATCCTACTATAAATATTGAATGTTTGTAATTCTAATCTCGGAAAAATAGCTTAACGGGTTAGGAAAAAAAATAGCTAACATATGCACAGTTTAAGAGCTAGACTGAGACATGGGATATTTTTTATCCCGCAATAAGAAAAGGTTCCCGTGGGGTTATCAATGGGCAAAGTCACGGACAGAAGCTAATATCAATAACATTTTGAACTAACTCACCCGGTCCTTTGGCTCCACCAGAGAGAAGGCGCCCTAGACGAAAGATGACCGCTCTCTCGTACTCCTGGACGACCTGATGCCAAAATAAAAATGTATGTATATAAATATTTCTAAGTAATGAAGTGGTAAGTAATAAATAAAGTAAAGTACTAGTAAGCATTGTAAGCTTTACTTTGAGGCTAGGCATATTAGCATGAGACCTACAGTGTAAGGCTTGTGAAATGTGATTCAAAAGTAACGTTTAGAAAAACCTACCTACATACAAATAAACATAAACATACATAGTATTCGATTCAAATAAGAATGGGAAAGCCAATGACCTCCATCTGTCAAATGTCACTTGAAAAGTACAGTTTGCAAAATAATCTTAGAACACTTATTTTAGCTCTGAGCTAATCTAAGAATAAAAACCAAACATTTGTAAACAAAAGATGGAAATAAATCATGTGAACGTATAGAAAATGAGTACTGGAAAAGGAAAATATAAGAACTTTAGTTTTATTATAAATACAGATAATGAAAAGACCGTTTTTATTATAAATAAAGTTTTCGTTTCAAAACCTACAATAATCGATATTTTATTTTATAGCCGAAAGCAGCAGTGATGATGATGATGATGACTACTCCGACGGTAGTGCAGAGATGACCGATATTAAAGAGCTAGATTCCGATTTATGTTTTTTCTCACTCTGCCTTAATAAATAAATATTATTAAATAATAATAGATATTTTTATTTCTCTCAATATTAGTAAAAAAATGATATTTAAAAATCAGATATTATTTCTCACTTAACGATAGTAAATAAGTTTTAAAAAAGAAAAAATTTTTTGCTCACCCTACCTAATCGGGTTGAATTGACTGCTATGACGTCACAATATGGCGCCCAGTCGGTCCTATTCTTAGTTGAATCGCACTGAACCTTTATTTTTTAGAAATACACATGTCTGTTCAAAAAGTATTGCGAATATTCGATTTACGTTTTTGTATGGTGGTATAATGCATTTGCGCGATTTTTTTGACAAAAGCAACAGACATGGCAGCAGCCTCCCGTTTTCCCCAGATCTGGCCCACTATGCCTTTTTCTGTTTCAAGGGCTGTTTCAACTAAAAAGGCCTATTGAAAGACGACGCTACGCAGGCGATGAGACGACGCTATGAAGGCGATAAAGTCGGCGTCAAAGGAGGAACTCAATAAGATCACAAAGAACGTTAATTTTAATGCTTCGATAATTGGAAAAATAATTTTGTAGTCATGTATTATATACGAGGGGAATTACTTTAATGGGAAACAAATAAATATTCATGGATAAGTCAAAACTTATTTAAAAATCACAAAATACGCGATAGTTTTATAACAACCCTATGTAAACAGACATGACCGCGTTGTTTCATCTATAGTTAAATTCGACTGTAGTTAAAATACTAAAGAAAAAATTAAACGTCTGTCAAAATTTGACATCTTTACTATGTATTTGACGTAACATTAACTAAAGTTTAATTTCCACAGTCCACACAAAGCAAACAAAGGACATGGTAAAATTTTGTATGAGCGACTGCCCTAGCAATGTATGTATTTTTTATTGTACTTAGTAATGTTTAATGCTGAATGGCTGAATATTTATAATGTCTATGAAAAAAGGCTCAGGATTCTTTAATAACGTTACAATTCTGAAAAAATTCAATACTCCTATTATCTGGCAACATTTGATAAATGATTTTGACAATTTAGTGATTTGTTAGAAAAAATGGGCCAAGTAATTCATAGTATTTAGGAGTTTGAAATTTATATTGTTTATTTCGATATACCTACTTACACAAATACACACATCAAAAGTGTCTAGGGATCAACATATATTTTTGCAATAACTTTTCTCCTGATTGATATTAATTAAAATTTTCTTTAAGGATTCATCAAATAAAGTGTTTTCGTTTGTCACAGTAACGATAAACCATTTCACCTTTGCATTAATAAAGAAATTTGCCATTTTCCTAATAAAGGGATTTTTGACATTTGAACCACTAACACAAAAGTTCGAAAAAAAGACTGAAATAACAGTTTTCTCTAAAATTTTATTGGGTAACTTAAACAATTAATAATCCGTATTTCTACCGCGAACACTAACAACACAAGAACATCGGTTTGGCATACTCAAAATGAGTTCATCCAAATCACGCTGTGCAATGGCCGCCCATGTTCGTTGCAACAACAAAAAAAGGTCTTCTTGCGACTGGATACCCTCCATATTCGGCAGAGCTCTTCTCTGTAGCATATCCCATGCATGCTCAATCGGGTTCAAGTCTGGCGACTGAGCAGGCCAGGGCAGGACATTGATGTTAGCTGCGGCGAGAGTCTGTCTTACAACTCTTGCGGTGTGCGGTCGTGCATTATCATGCATTAACTGAAATAAGGGACCGATTTGCACTTGTAGAGGAACGATGACGTCTGATACAATCGTCTCAGCATAAATTTGAGCGTTGAGGTTGCCTCTGATCCAAATCAACTCAGTTCTTCCGCCGATCCAAATACCCGCCCATACCATGATGGTTCCACCACTATAAGGATGGACTTCCTGGCAGGATTTTAATCGCTGTTGGCGTCCAGGGGTTCTCCAGTGTCGTATACGTCTTGTATCCGGTCTCATACCAAAACGAGACTCATCAGAAAAGCACACGAAACGCCATTGTTCTTCTGCCCAATTTCTGTGTTCAAGAGCCCATTGATATCGAATCCTACGATTGTGCATTGCTATAGGTGGTACCCGTAGCGGTCTTCGGGAATGAAGGTTCACTTCATGCAAGCGGTTTCTGACTGTTTGGTCGCTAATTAAGTTCCCTGAAGAGTGATGAAGCCTCACGGCTAACATCATGGCGGTTATTGTTGGAGCTCTTCGAGTTAAGATTTGAATGTATCGGTCTTGTCTCCGTGTGGTGCAGCGATACCGTCCTCCATGGCGCTCAGCCACGGTACCAGTGCTTTGGTATCGTGTCCAAAGTCGACTGATAACACTCTGACTTGTATTCAGAGCTAAAGCCACAGTACGTTGCCGGGAACCAGCTTCTATCATTCCCACGGCTCTGAGCATTTCTTCCCTGCTTAAATGACGTCGCCGCTCCATAATAACGTTGGTTTTAATCAGTAGTAGGAAAACAGTAGCACTAATAATGTCTTCAATGCGTTGTATGTTTTTATAGGGAAAATATTGACAGCTGATTTTCATCTTTTACTCGAATTTGATTCACAGTTCCTGATTCAAATTATGAAATGCACCAAAAAGGATCCATATAAATTTATAAAATCATAAATTTATTACAAAGCCACATCTCAATCTCAAGAAATCCGCATAAAAATGCTTGATCCCTAGACACTTTTGATGTGTGTATTTCTTGTGAAGATTTATTTTTCATTTATTTTTGTAAAACGGAACATTTTCCTTTTGGAACATACATGAAGTAAATTTTTATACTTTTTAATATTTCACGAAAGTTGTATGAATATGATAACCACGTAATAATTAATAAACAAATATAACAATATATAATGTTATGGGCTAGTGCGAAATAATTATAAATGTTAAGGACAGTTTCTTAGTCATGTCCTTAGTTAATACTTATCAATTTTATATAGTTCAACAACACACATAGGTACTAATCTGTAATAGTTGTTGACCGTGCCGGGCCCAAGCCTTTGTTGGCCTTTTAGAGCTGTTAAGTGGGAACACCACCCCCCATTCCGTTACAGGCCCCGTAGACCTAAACACGCACTCGCCGTCACACATAACAAGTAAACGTGCTTCCTCGCGGCCCTTCTGGCCGCCGAGGAGCCAACACTCACAATAGAGCCCCCCCCCCCCCCGACACAGGGAGGCCCGCTGCCGCTCAGTCCCCTCCCGTTTCGAGTGCATATCTGAGTGCACCCGTCCATTAGCGCATTATGCGTTATTTTAAATTATGCATTAGTTTAAACTAACGCAGCGCTGCATTATCTCCCTCTCAGGGGATAATTGCTTCAGATGAAGCTTGTAAGGCCCTTCAGGCCATAAGCATGTACTACGGGTGTGTTTTAGTCAGTAGGAGTTTGTAATAACCTTGCAGCCGGCTGAAGGGTATCCATGAGGATTTCACACCCGCTCCACCGCACCGCCTGGGAGGAATCAAAATAAAAGAAAGCGGGAACACTTAGCGCACGAACGTTCCGCATGCAGTCTCATGTTATTTCATACTAGCGGCCGCCTGAGACTTCGTACGCGTGGAGTTAGTTAGAAATAAAGGTTCACTGCTCGTTACCCGTAGGTGATAGAGTGATAATATGTAGCCTATATGTTGACCCGACTTCTTAATAATATTTGTGCCAAATTTGAAGTAAATCCATGCAGTTTTTTTGAGTTTATCCCGGACATACATACAGACAGACAGACACACAGACAAAAATTCTAAAAACTATATTTTTGGCTTCGGTGGCGATTGTAGATCACACCCCAATTATTCTTTTAAAAAATATTCAAAGTACAGTTTTGTCTTTCCTACCATTTTATTATATTAGTTGACGACCTCCGTGGTCGAGTGGTTTGTACGCCGGGTTTCATGGTGTCGCCGACTCGAGAGGTCCCGGGTTCGAATCCCGGTGGGGGCAGATGTTTGTGTGATGAATACAAGCATTTGTACTCCAGTCATGGATGTTTAATATGTATTTCTATATAAATATACTTATATATGTACAGTATATGTATTCTATCCGTTACCCTAGCATCCCATAACACAAGCCTTACAGTGCTTACTTTGGGGCTAGGCTAATTGGTGCGAGTGTCGGAAATATTTATTTATTATTTATTTATTTATTATATAGGTATGTATAGATTTCACCTCCAGTCTCAGCGCTGCTCTATGAAATAACATGAAACTGCACGCACAGAGCGGCCGCTTAAGGTAGCGCACGCCCTTAACGCTCTGTATGTTGTGAGTGTGGAGTCGTGTCCGGCATGATCCTCTGAACTTAAAACTAGATTTACCATTTGTTTCTCCTTTTCATTCTGTATTGAAAATAACAAGGATTACTGTTGTAAATTTTAATTTTAA